GTTATTTACTTGAGTTTTCTCTGAGCTAACTCTGAGTTTATTTGAAGGGCCGAGAAGATAGCTGTATTTCTACAGCTCAGCACTCTCCCCCAACCAGACACAAACATAGAGCTACCGCTGTGGAAAATACTGAAGCGTGGGATAAGAGCAAAGTAACGATTGCCGGGGATACCCATGACTTGATATTAAATGCTTCTCATAAACATTGACTTAAATTTTTAATGAAAGGGAAATTGAAATGCTTCATTTTTCACGAGAGCAGTAGGATTTCCATTAACAGTGCAGAACAAGAGCAATGACCAAAAAACCAACCCAAGAGAAGTTTGTCTTTATTTAGGGGGAATACAAAGTGTTTAAATGTGACGTGTAAATGAATAGTTGTATTTTAATGGTTTTAAGAATCTAAGCCAGTATAAATTTTCAGTTGTTTTTTACTTAACATTGATGAAAAATTTACTTTTTTCAATTAGCATTTTTGGAAAAAGGATACTAATTACTGGAACACAAAGATGGTGATATACATATGAGGATTTTACTTAGGATAACTAGACTTAAGAACTCAAATTTCAAATTTGCTAACTGTTGCAGAAGTAACATGCTGTCAGATCATTGGAGATATCCTAAAACGGGGTCAGCTATTTCTAAGTAGCCTAGATGGTATTTCAGACTTGTTTAAACCTCATTTTTCTTCCTTTTAAATGGGACCGTGATGTGTTTCATAGTGTGTTTGTGAAGATTAAATGAATATTAAAGCCATAATGAAAGTTGGTATTTGAACAAGGACTTCTTGCCTTGGGTCATTGCACATTATCCTGGACAGCTAGGAAAGGTCAAATAAATCTTGCAAGTTCACACAGCTAAGAAGCATGAAATAGGACTGGAGCCTGGGCTGTCTGATGTGAGAGCATATGCTTTTGACCACTGCCATACGGGATAATGAATAAATGGATAAAACCTGTATACTGCATAAATGTTGAAGATGGTGATGAAAATACTTTAAAATGGACCTTGTTGTAATAAAAAAATGATCTTTTTTTCGAAGTCATGAGAAAATATGTAATGGATTACCTTTGATTCATTTGTCTCTATCCATACGAAAGAAACCCCAGTAGGCCATTTTCCTTTGATTCGTTCTTACTGAATTGATAGGTTGTCTTCTAATTTCCCTCAAAGCATTTGTTCCAATAACTGCTGCACGTTGAACTCTATTCTTCTATATCTTTTTCTACTTTCAAAGTTGGAAAAGTTTTTCGTCTCGATAACAATGCATGAAAGCTGCATGATTTCGTAAAGACGAGCAATAATAACTTTATAGTACTGTTGGGTAGTTCTGTGCTGCCCTGAAATTGAATTCGTGAAGACCTGGACCTCTGGACTTATTAAAGGAGCTCTCATCTTCTTTCAATAAGTCATTAGCTATCCTTAGGTAAATTTGTTCTAGGCTGTAGAATTTGATGATTGCTCTCCCTGGGTGACAATAGGTAAGTCAAAGAAGAACACTCGTGTCATTAGGCAGAATTCAACAGTCTTTTTGGACCTTTAATCTAGGACTTGTTTGATTTCCTTGCTTTATCCATAAGTTTCTTTTTCTTTAGTTGTGTTGCTCTAGGTTGTCCAGTCACATCGTGTACTTTACATTTCTTCGTGTCTATTTTTGTAGTATACTTGACCTATTCTTTCTTAGATTTATTTTGGGTCAATTCCCCTACTTCCTTTTTGGTGTGTCACTAAATGTTAGCTAATAAGAAATGTAAGAACAGCTATATTTTCTACAGATGTTTCTTTTTTCTCTCTATAGGGTCTTACCTAAATAGTCCACTAGAAAATAACACTCATAGAAATTTATACTTTGTAGGAGTTATGTATGAATATGTATAGTAGTTCAGAGTCCATATAATGATAAAACACTCCATACACTTGCTTTTGAACATGCCTGTTATCTGACTTTGTCCTGAATGTGTTTCTAACATTTCCTTCTGATGAACACATGAAGTTTGACAACTTTGCTATAGCTTTAGTGCTGTCCATCAGGTTTGCTTGGAATTTAAATTAGGTTGAAAGTAAATGTTTTCTCTGAGTCCCTCAACTTCTAAGTTGGAATTGTAGCACAAAGAAGCAAGACTTGATCAAATGCTCTTATCTTAGCAGACTGAGGTTTCCATTCTGTGTAAATGTACCTATATTGGAGATATACCCAATATACATTTTCTTAAAGATGACCCAATATACATTTTATTGAATGTTGAGTTGAAATCAATATTCCATTGAACTAAAAGTCAAAATCATATCCTTCTCTTAGAATGTGCTTTTCATGCACTTGTCTAAAATTAATTTTACAATTAAACACTTTAGGAGTCCTTTTTAAGTTTGGCATCATGGTTCCCAATATTGTCAGCTCCTATGTTGCTCCTATAGTCCTAACAATGCACATGTGTTAAACCAACGTATTGATTTTCAACCCAGGTAATGGAGGAAGGCGTTTGGGGATAACCCATTTCTCTGTATTCTTCTTTACGTCTGGATGAAGGGCAATTTTTCAGGACATTGTCCATGATTTTGGAGATCTTTATTTTTTGGTTTGAGGTGACAAATTTGATGTTCTGCTTTAATTTATCTTTAAAAAAAAAACCCTCTTAAATAGGACTTTTTCTTGACCATAATGGCTTAAATGCAGTAAAATAACTAATTATAGTCTTGAAAATTTCTATTTTAACATTATGAAAGCACACAGAACAAGTCTACAAAAATCTGCAAAAGTAGTTAGGTTATAATATTTCCATTCTCTTCTTCGTATTAAATGTTTATACATATTTTTCAGCTACCCAAAGTGATCTAGCAAACACATTCTCTTAATGAATTCTTAGAATCTGAGTTAATACACATATTTTGTACACCAAATCAACAGCTTCAAAACTATAATTGTCACAGCACCTGGGTGGCTCAGTTGGTTGTGAGACCAATTTCAGCTAATGTCATGATACCATGGTTCCTTGGTTCGAGCTTCACATCGAGCTCTATGCTGACAGCTTGGAGCCTGGAGCCTGCTTTGGATTCTGTGTCTCCCTCTCTCTCTGCCCCTCTCTCCCTCCCTCCCTCTCTGTCTCTGTCTCTGTCTCTCTCTCAAGAAAACATTAAAAAATTGAAAAAAAAAACATATGGGGCACTAAATTTTACAAATACATTAGTTGTCAAAACACAATTACACTATTCATGCCATATGCTTGAGTTGGTATGAGAAAAAGTTGGATCCAGAATTTTCACTATAATTCAAAGTGTTTGTACAGATAGCAAGTATACGTCCAATGTCATCATTTTGTTCATGTTAGAGACATTGTTAAGCTGAAGAGCGAGATAGTGACCTACTTGACCATATCATTGAGGACTCACCAGTTCCTAGAATTTAGAAATGACTTCAAGTAGGCATTTCCACAGCCAGAAGCCATGGACAGACATAAAGCAAATGCTGGGCTGATAACAGAGGCTAATGCCAAATTTTGTCACATGTATCCTATCCAGTCTATCCTATCCAATCCTGTATCCTATCCAATCTCTATCCTATCTCTATCCTATCTGTATCCTATCTGTATCCTATCCAATCTCTATCTCTATCCAGTATCCTATCCAATCTCTGTTCTAATTTTTTATTAGAAACTCTGTACATTGATTTTCTATGTGCTGTGACTATATTTTCATTTGTTCATTTTGTGCATTGTGCTAGGTATTCCATCTATGTATCATGTAACTTTTATGGCAATACTGTGGCCTTGTTATGATTTCTTAATAAGTGTTCATACTGGAGCTCAGAAACTTTGTAAAACTTCCCCAATTTGATACACTTTGATTTGAGCCCATAGTTAGTGGGCTGCATATTACTTTCTGTCTCTTGTATTCTCAGTCATGTATCTTATTTTTTCTTCATTTTCCTATGTTTCAAATGCTTTTCCTTTGATATATAATTGACCTATATTAGTTGCAGGTGGGAACATGATTTGATATTTGTATATATTTTGAAATGAACACAAGTCCAGTTAACATCCATCACCACAAATAGTTAAAAAATTTTTTCTTGTGATGAGAATTGGTAAGATCTATTCTCTTAGCAACTTTAAAATGTACTATGTTGTATATTAACTATAGTAATGAACATATTAATGGTCACTATACTGTACCTTATAGCCCCATAACAACTATTTCATAACTGGAAGTTTATACCTTTTGGCTCCCTTCACCCATCCCCCACCTCTGGCAACCATCAGTTTTCTGTATTTATGAGTTTGTTTTGTTAACACATTCTCACATAAAAGTGAGATTATATGATTTTTATCTTGGAGTTATTTCACTTACCATAATGTCCTCCAGGTCCATCCATGTTGTTGTAAATGGCAGGATTTCCTTTTTTATGACTCCATAATATTGCAGGGTGTGTGTGTGTGTGTGTGTGTGTGTGTGTGTGTGTGTGTAGACACACACTAGATCTTCTTTATGCATTTATCCATCAGTGAACACTTAAATTGCTTCCATGCCTTAGCTATTGTAAGTACTAATGCAGTGAACATGGGGGTACAGATACATTTTTAGTTACTGTTTACCTTTCCTTTGGTTAAATAGCCACAAGTGGAATTACTGGATCATAGGGTAGTTCTATTTTTAATTCTTGGAGGAACGTCCATAGTGTTCTTCATGATGGCTGCATCCATTTACATTCACACTGAAAGCGCACAAGTGTTGCCTTTTCTCCACATCCTCACCAATGCTTATTTCTTCTCTTTTTGTTAATTGCCATTCTAAGACATAAGAGGTGATAATGTGGTTTTGATTTGTATTTCCCTGATGATGAATGATGTTGAACACCTTTGCATGTGTGTCTTCTTTGGAAAAAGGTCTATTCAGATTCTCTGCCCATTTTTGAGTTGAATTGTTTGTTTTTTGCTGGTGAGTTGTATGAATATATTTTGAATATTAATATCCTATAAGATATGTGGTTTGCAAATGTGTTTGCATTTTGTTGATGGTTTCCTTTGCTGTGTAGATCATAAGGTTTTCTAAATCTTAATTGTTATTTGTGGAAGGAGTAGGAGAAGAATGGGGGTGGGATTGGGGGAGGGGGTAGATGACCCATGTACCAACATTTGCTAAGGATTTAGGGAAGGATATGACCGCATCATCACCTACCAATCCAGGATCTGGGAGGCCCCAAATCAGCAGATGGAGTTCGTAAGATGCCTCTTCCTGCACAGTTTAGTGAGAATTAAACCTGTGTGGTGTAAGCAAGCCCAGCTAATTCCCTTCCTTTTGAAGTTTCTCCCGTTCAGACCTCTAAGAATGACTACATGACTAACATGGATTCTCCTGCACAACAGTGCCTCTTAAATACATAAATTGCAGATTTATCTATAATACAAAATCTAGACAGGCCAGGTATATCTTCCTAAAAGGATTTTATTAGATAAAGATGCACCACAATCTGTTGGGAGAGTAAATCCTAAAAGTCCTAATTGCAAGGGAAAAAAATCTTTTTATACCTATCGGGGGTGACGGGTGTTAAATAATACACTACGGTAATCATTTCACATTGCGTATAAGTCAGTTTATTATGTTGTGCATAGACTTTGTTAGGCTGTATGTATGTCAATTATATCTCAGTAAAACTGAAAGAAAAAAGGGTACAACCTAGAAGGCTGTGGAAGACCTTTACTTAACTTCCATTTAATTCTGTAAGTGAACTATAGAAGGAAGCTTGGCTACACTCTAAACTGCCTCCAGCAGTTGATTTCTCACTGGTGTTTCTCATACCTATGAGAACCTCATACCTTCCTTTGGGTTTGATACTGATAATTACTTAAGTTTATATAGTGTTTTAATTTCAAAACGTTGTTATATGTTACTGAATTTATTTTTCCAAAGTGATATAGGTGACACAACACGTGATTTCAAATGAAGGTCTTGAGAATCAAAATCAAGCATGCTTTTCATGTTGGCTTTCGTTGAATAAAAGTGTGCCTTTATGTTATATTTATTGAATCCTATTAAGTCGCTGATACCTTTAAACCCTATTATTTCCTTAGGACTGAAATTCATTTATGTTCATTGTTCCATGAACACATATATATTATAAATGCATAGAATTAATAGTTGACAGGGATATATCTAAAATACAAATATTTGTTTATCTAAAGAACACCCTACATCATTTCAGCGGTAATTGGAGGTGGCATATAAAATACACAATTGGTAGAATGAGAAAATAAAATGATGGAAATGGATAAATCTGAAAATAACTTCAGCATATGAGTCAATATAGTATTTAGGTGTTAGCTATAAATTAGGCTGTGGGTTCCCTAGCAGCCAAAGAAAAGAAACAAGTGCATTTATTTCAGAGCTTCACGATACCCAAGAGATTAAAAGCAATTTTTCATGTGGGTGGTAACTTTTGTATGTACTGAGACTAAGGCGTTACTGTGTGTTGGTGAATATTCCTCAACAACAACTCTGATAATCACAGTACTATGTATTACACTTGGCTGTTTCTTACTGTGAGTTCATGAGTTAAATACAATGAAACCAATTGTCTAAGGAGGCAAAGTCTAGTGTGTGAGGTGCACACGCACCCCTCCCCAATGTTGTCATGATGCAAGGCTCAACTTCAAAATATAGCAGCAGTTTTCAAAGCATGTTCTGTAAAATGTTAATTACTGGGACATTTCTTGAAAATGTCTATCAGAATGCTAGAAAGCTAGAGGAAGAATCCCTCATGACAGCTGCCTTAGCACTGGTTCTCTTTTCTCCCGATGGATGATACAGGCTTTTAAAGGTATTGGGATTAGTAAATATACCCTGGATTAGCAAAACGTACCCTGTTGATAAGAATTGTAGAACTAGTATATAAGCCCCAAGTGTAAGAGGGGAGCAGTAAGTCTGGCTTCTTAGATCAAGTGAAAGTCTCCCATGGGTAATACTCCTTGACTGGAGAACTTTGTTGCAAGAAAGCCAATAGGTTTAACAAAATATTAGGTTTATGAATATCCGGATGTTAAGAGTTCCATTTAAGGTTTTTCTCTTTGCTTCATTCATTTCAATAATTGGAAGTTCATGGTTAGCATTTTATGTTGTGATTTTTCATAAAGTATATTGTTGAAATTTTAATCATTGTATTTAACTCAGATTCAGCTTTAATTGCAAGATGGTAAATGTTAATAAATGTCATCAGCTTTTTTATCTTTAAATCTATTTGAGGGGAAAAATGTAACATTGAATAGTTTGTTCCCTATAACTGAAGCTGAATATTGAGAAAATTTTGGAGAGCTCATTGTTTTGAATTTAAAAGTTGATCCTGAATTGATGGGTTTCTGACAATATCACCTAGGAAGATTTTGCTAAACCTATTACGATATTTCTAAAATCATACGTTTTTCCCCTACGTTGTTTAGTGACGTATTTTGGAACCATTTAAAAGTACGTTACATCTATTTTCTCAAACATTCAATACTACCTTATAATCCTTATTCATATTATTTGTGGCTGTTACAATGAAATTCATACTGGTGTTCTTAAATACAAAAATTAAAACCTGGTTTGTTTTTAATTTTAAATTGATGTTATAATTCCTTAATGTTTGGGTGAGCATCTGCAGGTTTTATGACCCTGATCTCTCATCCATTGATGAATTATGCTCCTTTATCTTAAACTCTTCTGAGAGTTAATCAGGAAGCCCTGAGACCTGACATGATTTTCTCACGATTGCGCAATCAGTTCGGGAACAAGGTCTCACACTCCAGGTCTCTGGCTGTCTGCTCTGGAGGATCTGTCCATTACCCTGTTGAACCTTGCTAGTATTGAAGGATTTGAGTTGGGTAGGTTAAAATTTTTGGAATAACAACTGCGTTCTAGTAACTCAGATAAGGTAGCAACTTCATTGAGATAGGAGTTTAGTTTTCACTTTTATTCCTGAAACGTTTTTAATGGAAAAATAGAATTTTTGGACTACACTAGCCCCATTTGAGTATTACGCTCAGTTGTCTTTGCTCGACAGGCTTGCCTGTGAAGTCCCAATGGTAATAGTCTATACTTTACCCTGAGATAAAAGCCCCTCATTTGCAAAGGGAATGACATTTTTGTAATGCTACTAGTTTCTTAAAAATTAAAACCAGGCATTTAGTACTGGGGGAGAAAATAGGTGTTAATACATTGGATTGCTATTGGTATTAATGACATTTTCATTGGGGCTTTCAGTTGAAATGCTGTCAGTTTTGGTAATTTTTTTAATAGCTTGGTAAGCTAAAAAGGAGGGAAAAGTGGAAATTTGAAGTGTTACATCTCCCTTTTCCATTGTGGATTTGGAAATGAATAAATGGGTTCCTTACTGGTGCATTTAATTTTTAAAATGACTAAGCAAATAAATACATACCATATCATATAATATCTCGATTATTTTGCAAGTAGAAGTTTATTAAATGCAAACTTACTGATTCAGTCATGTGACCTAAAGGACCTATTAAAACATTATATGTGATATACGTGTGTTGAACATTTATACAGTGCTTTTCATGATTATACTTAAACATACAAAATTCACCTTGACTCAATAATGAATTGATGATAATTGACAAGATTGTTTACTGTCAGTCTGATAAGATTGTAAATATTTCCTATGTTTTAACTTCCTTAATATTCAAGGCACTCTATATCCTTTTCTCAGTAAAAGAAAATGAGTCACATGGTAGCAATTGACTTTCTCAAGGGCATACCATTTATAAGTGGTAGACCATGGCTATTGACCCACCCAGTTTCTGTCCAGAGCCTGCACATTTAATTACTGCCCTATATTGTCCTCCTTTGTCCTCATATTAGATACATTATACAGATGAAACATGAGATGATATAATTTCCTTTGAAATATTCTAGTAAACATTTTAGTTAATCCATCTGTCTAGTTTTCTTTACTCTTTAAATAGGACACCTCATAAAAATACTTCAGCATGACTAGGGTCAGGACCCATGGAAACAAATACATATCCTAAAATGGCTTTCATTGACTAAGGAATTTGCAAAACCATCATTTTGACTTAACCTCCCCCCCCCACCTTTTTATGAGTAGGTCTTAAAACATCTGCTCTGTGGACCGTTTGGCAGGAGTAAACTGGAGAGCCTCTGTGGAATTACCTATCCTACCTAGATGACCATTCCTGGTGGAGGGGATTAGGAGAAGTAGGGAAAACTGTACCACTACTGTGGGCTAGTTTGTCATAATTTAGGGTCTTGATACTTGTTTTGTTTGTACAAAACACCCATCAGTGAAAGTGTTAATAGATACGTTAAGAAAACAGGCTTGGGGCATCTGGATGGCTCAGTCTATTAAGCATCTGACTTGAGCTCAGGTCTTGATATGTGAGTTCAAGCCCCATGTTAGGCTCTGTGCTGACAGCCTGGAGCCTGCTTCGGATTCTGGATTCTGCGTTTCTGTCTCTTCTCCTCCTGTGCTCGCACCCTCCCTCCCTCCCTCTCTCTCTCCCTCCCTCCCTCCCTCCCTCTCTCTCTCTCTCTCTCTCTCTCCCTCTCAAAAATAAATACATACTAAAATTTTTTTTAAAGAAACCAGGCTTATGTTTCCAAATGAATCCTTAAAATCTGTGAATGATGCTGGACCAAAGAACAGTTTGAAGAGACCTAACATGGAAGGTATCAAATGTTGAGTTCATAAGTTTATGAATCTAAAACCTAAAATTTTCAAGGTGATTTCACTAATAAAAGAGCATCAGGTACCAGAAATAGTTACCATTAGAAGACAAAAAGTTACTCTTAGAACACCTAACAAGTTCTAAATAGTGTCCTACGTGTATGATTTGCTTTAAGAAAGCTTAAAATTTGGAAAGAAAAGCTGAAAAATGGAACCTAGTGTATTGGGAAGCTACAGTGAATATTTTGCAGAGTAAATAGCTTGTTAAAATGAAAAAAAAATGTTTTACACACAATTATTTTTTTGTTTTCAGGGATTTTTTTTTTCTGTTCAGGAAGCAGCAAATTTGATAATAAATCTATTTGTGAGGAGTTAATGCTGTTTTTGTAACCAATGTGACAATACCAATTTTTTAAAACAAATGTTTTGTAGAAGTAACTACAGAGCCATTTGTAAACTTACTTAAATTGGCTTTTTATTTTTGGTAATTGAGTTGTAGGAGTTCCTTATATATTTTGTGCATTAACCCTCCCATTTTCTGATTCATGGTTACCATATGTTTTCTCCCATTCTTTAGGTGCCTTTTCATTCTGTTGGCTGTTAATTTTTTGCTCAGCTTTCTAGTTACATGTAGTCCTGCCTGTCTGTGCTTCTTTGTTATATTGAAGAAATCACAACCAAAACAGATGTCCAGTTTTTTCCCCACGTTTTCTTCTAGACTTTGAGAGTTGCAGATTTTACATTTAACTCTATAATTCATTTTCAGTTAATTTTTGTGTATTGTGTAAGATAGGGATTCAAATTGGTTGTTTTTCATGAGGACGTCCATTTTGCCCAGGACAGTTAGTTAAAGACAGACGCTTTTCCCATTGTGTGTTCTTGGCACTCTTGCTGAAGATCAATTGAATGTATATGCTTGGATTTATTTGGGGGCTGTTTGTTTTGTTCTGTTGGTCTGTATGTTTATTCTTACTCCAGTATCATAGTTTTTTTTTTTAATTTTTTTTAACGTTTATTTATTTTTTTGGGACAGAGAGAGAGCATGAACGGGGGAGGGGCAGAGAGAGAGGGAGACACAGAATCAGAAACAGGCTCCAGGCTCTGAGCTGTCAGCACAGAGCCCGACGCGGGGCTCGAACTCACGGACCGCGAGATCGTGACCTGGCTGAAGTCGGACGCTTAACCGACTGCGCCACCCAGGCGCCCCGTTTTTTTTTTTTGTTTTTTTTTGTTTTTTTTTTTTTGTTTTTTGTTTTTTGGTTTTTTTTGATATCGTAGCATTGTAATACATTATGAACTGGAGAAGTGAGTTGCTTTTGTTCTTTTACAAGACTACCTTGGCTCTTAATACTATTGAGTGATTCCATATGAATTTTAGATGTTTTTATTTCTGTTGAAAACACCATTGGATGCTGGTTGGGATAAGCACTGGATATTACATGTAACTGATATTCCTGAAACCCAGTACTACATGGTATGTTAACAAACTTGAATTTAAATTGGACAAAATGCCATTGTGATTTTGACATAGATAGCATTGGTTTCAAAGAAGATCTAAAAATGTCTGACAAGCACATGAAAAGATGTTCCACATTACTAATCATGAAGAGAAAAGAGAATTGGAAAAGTGCAGTGAGGTAGCCCCTCACATGTGTTAGGTTGGCTTTTATACCCCTCCCCAATGTTGATGAGGATGTGAAGAAATTGGAACTCTTTTACGCTGTAGGTGGGAATGTAAAATGGTGTAGCCACTGTGGAAAACAGTATGGAGGTCCCTCAAAAAATTACTAATAGAACTGCCACGTACTCCAGCAATCGCACTTACTGCAATATATCCAGAGGAATTGAAGTCAAGATCTGAAAGCAATATCTGCCTTCCCATGCTTATTGCAGCACTATTCACAATACCAAAGACGTGGAAAAAACCTTGTGTCTATCAGTGGATGAGTAAATGAAGAAAATGTGGTGTATAGAGTGAAATACTATTCACCCATAAAAAAGAAAATCCTGCCATTTGTGACAACGTGGCAGACATTATACTGAGTGAAATAAACTGATGGAGGTGGATAAATACTGAATGATTCCACTTATACGAAGAATATAAAATAGTGAAACTCAAAGAAGTGAGGAAAAGGGTGGTTGCCAGGGGCTGGGGTAGGGGAAGGAAGGTGTGGGGTATTGCTGTTGAATGGGTATAAAGTTTCAGGTAGTCTAGATGAACAAATTGTGAAGGTGTACTGTGTGACATAGTGCCTTAACAGTTAACTATTGTACCCCTAAAAATTTGTGAAGGCGTATTAAATGTTCTTAACACAAAAATGAAACAGAGCCAAACAGGCAGGAGGAAATTTTTAGAGATGATGAATATGTCTGTTACCTTGATTGTGGTGATGGTTTCAGGCATGAGTACATAGCTCCATACTCCGTATAGATTAATCATGTCCAGGTTTTTTGTATATCCATTACATCTCAATAAAACTGTTAAAAAGGAGAAAAAAGACAAATACTGAAATTTGTTGCCGGTTTTGTTCATGCATTAATGATGTACATTACACCCTAAAAATGGTATTGTATATAAAAGAAAATATGTCGTTGGTATATACTGGTGGTTTTTGTTTTTGTTTTTTTTTTCCTATTTTCCTTGAAAAGAGAAGGCAAGTTCATTTTTTTAGAGATAAAATACTAAGTGCTTTTGTAATGGTAAATTATTACTTATATCTGTAGATAAAATGAGTATTAGGAAACTTAAATCAACATTGTATTATAACAATGTCTCAGAATAAGTCCACATGTGCCACACTTAATGTATTTCTTGGATGACTACAAACAGCTTAAGTTATGGCATTTATTTGTATATGAATGAATTACTAGCTTCAGTAATAAAGCAGTATTGCTTTGGATGCAATTAATTTTAATAACTTGTTATAAAGGCTATGAGTTTCTCAACAGTTCTGGACTCTACTGGTGTATATTATAGTATATCTGGAAAAGGAAAAAAAATACTAAACAATTATTAAGTAAATGTATGACTTAATTAGCAACCTGACTGTATGTGTTACTCATTAAGTTTTATTGGCTATAGGGTTTTGCAGTCAAGAGTCTGAGTCTGAGACCTTAATAATGTCTTGCCAAAGATCATCACAGTCCTCAAGTGACTTAAAAGGACAATAGGTTTGTAGTTTGTTAAAAGTCAAGAAGTAGGAAGAAATTGAGTGGGATTAGAGAATCTCTCTATGCTATGAACTACATTTTCACAATAACTACAAACACTGAGGAATGATAGAATCAGGTTGGCAGAAATTTAGCCACCAGCTGCCTCTTAATGACTTTGCCAGCTGTGATAGTTGTAGGATTGAGTTTTAGGCTGTATCTTTAATTTTAGGTTGTTCATTTATTGATGTAAAGGTAAATATTTTATCAGACACTTTTTTTCCTTCAGTGTATTAACAATAAATTAGAGTGAGTTTCAGGAATACTTGAGCTGGTAAAAAAAAATCCTTTCAAGTTTACTCACGTCTTTAATAAAATTGAGCCTTCTCTAAATTTGTCTTGGGTTGAAGTGGAGTGCTTTAAAATATAGTTAATTACAAATGTTAAAAATCAACTTGGGCAGAGAAAGAATAGAAATAGTCTAGTACTGTTCATAAGTTCAGAGTAGCTCTTGATTTTGTTTATACTAGGAGCAGATAATAAAAGAAAGCATGCTAGCCAGGTCCCCAGACATCTATCTCCCTTCTCACAGACCAGTGCAAATAAGGCCCTATAGAGGAAAGGTCAGAGGCAGATTTCCTACAAAGACAAACAAAAACCAAACAGTATCACTGGTGAAAAGGGATTGATGGAGCCCAGATTAAACGTTCAGAGGTATGTCATTTTGAGATACACTTTTCTACGTACTCCATAAGCTGAGCCAGAAGGACTATTGAGGAAAACAAGATACGTGAGGAGTACAAGGAGTACAAGCATTGTAAAAGACAAAAAAGGAGCATCTTGTGCTAGATAAACATATTTAGTTGACCAAATAGAATGTAAAATAACTGTTGATTTGTATAGAAATATCATACTCAAAATAAGAACTCATTAGTTGAAGATTAAATGGATATTTCAGGAGGACTCATTATCTGGAAGACAAGGTATAACAACTTTTTAAGTACTTGACTCAAAATAAAGGCACATGAATAGAATTAGAAACTTGGCTATATTTTATGGGTTCTAACCTGACTAGGGTGAGGTGATATCTCATTGTGGTTTTGATTTGCATTTCCTGATGACTAGGGACATTGAGCATTTATTCATTGACTTACAGGCCATTGGGTGTCTCCTTTGGATAAATGAATAACTCCTTGGACCATTTGAAATCAGACACCTAGATTTTATCTTGGAAATTAATCCTTTTTAAGACCCATGGTTTGCAAATAATTTCTCCCATCCCATAGATTGCGTTTTAATTTTGTGGACTGCTTCCTTTGCTTTGCCCAAGTGTTTAACTTGATGTAGTCCCACTTGGTTATTTTTGGTCTTGTTACTTACTGCTTTTAGTGTCCTAGCAATGAAACTATTGTCAGCACTAATAGTGTATAAATGTAATACTTGGTTTTAAGACTTTTACAGTATCAGCTCGTACTTTTAAGTCTTTAACCCACTTGGAGGTGATTGTGTATGGTTGAAGATACTGATGCAAATTAACTACTTTGTGGTTATCCAGTTGCTCAAGGCCATTTGTTGAAGAGACCATCTCTTTCCTGTTGTGTGTTCTTGGCACCCTTATCAAAGATAGGTTGACCATAGGGGTGCCTGGGTGGCGCAGTCGGTTAAGCGTCCGACTTCAGCCAGGTCACGATCTCGCGGTCCGCGGGTTCGAGCCCCGCGTCGGGCTCTGGCCTGATGGCTCAGAGCCTGGAGCCTGTTTCCGATTCTGTGTCTCCCTCTCTCTCTGCCCCTCGCCCGTTCATGCTCTGTCTCTCTCTGTCCCAAAAATAAATAAACGTTGGAAAAAAAAAAAAAAGATAGGTTGACCATATACGTGAAACTTTATTTCTGGGATCTATTTTGTATTGGTCTATATTTTTGTATTTTTGTTGGTAACATACTGTTTAGACTACAATAACTTTACAGTATCTTAAAACTCTGCTAACATTTCGCTGAAGCTCATAATAAAATGTTACGGAATGCATTAATTTGTTGGGATTCTTAGACACTTGTATGCCTTCTTTCAAAGCCTTTCGGTTTGGACACAAGATGGCATTTACCTGAAATAAGAAGGACACATGAGGTACTTAAACTATTAGAGTAAGAGCTTATTCAATGTGACCACAAATGAGATTGTTGAACACTTCACCCTTAATAAAGTACAACAGTATTTAAATTTGAATGAATAAACCTTTTATTGCCACAGGAGAAAAATAGGCACATTTTATACATACATTTTAAGAGATAGCAACATTGGTTATTACTTTATGATTTTTTTATGTAATTTTTTTTAACGTTTATTTATTTTTGAGACAGAGAGAGACAGAGCATGAACAGGGGAGGGGCAGAGAGAGAAGGAGACACAGAATCAGAAGCAGGCTCCAGGCTCTGAGCCATCAGCCCAGAGCCCGACGCGGGGCTCGAACTCACGGACCGTGAGATCGTGATCTGAGCTGAAGTTGGACGCTTAACCGACTGAGCCACCCAGGCGCCCCTGTAATTTTTTTTATCTAATGACAACCTATTAATTATGTTAATTTTTTAATGTTTACTTATTTTTGAGAGAGAGCTAGGAACAGAGCATGAGCAGGGGGAGGGACAGAGAGAGGGAGACACAGAATCTGAAGCAAGCTCCAGGCTCTGAGCTGTCAGCATAGAACCTGACATGGGGCTGGAACCCTCACTCAGCTAGATCATGACCTGACTCAAGTTGGCCACTTAACCAACTGAGCCACCTAGATGTCCCTAATTATGTTTTAATTGAAGTACAGTTGATACATGATGGTATGTTAGTTTCACGTGAATGACATAATAACCTGTTAATTATTGAGGACATCTTAGAGAATATAATTCAGTTCCTCATTGACAGTGTCAAAGAAGAATCTGTGATGTATATTGTACTTAATACATACATCTCATCATTTATACAGTTGGGCTAAAATTTCGCTATTTAAAATAAAAAATAAAAATTATATGTAAACAACTGAAAATAATAGGAAAACTTAAAGTATTAGGAGTGTTTAAAAATGAATATTTCCAGTTGTAGAAAAGATCTTGGGAACCCAAGATAGGAATGATCATATTTACACCAATACCTAATACTCAAGTTTATAGTTAAGTACTACATCCTCATCCAACATCTTCGTAAAACTTGTTCCATTTCATGGCTTTTTTGGTAGAACAATATATTTTGGCATAATGGAATTCACTTCTCTTTGATTCATAAGCATCAATGAAAAAACCTCTGCCCAAATGTACAGTTGCCTTTATTACTAAATATGTCTGTATCTTTTCTTTTTGTATTGGACCCTGTTGTGCAGTTTTTTGTATACTTGAAAACCCTTCCTTTGAAAGTGACACTTTTTAACAGCCCTTTGTATACTGTAGAACACTTTGTTTTAATGTGACCAAAAAGAAAAAGAACATCAACTCATTGACATCTCTATAAGAAAATCAGCAGTATCATCAGAGGAGGGTATTACTGTCTATTTGCCCTGCTTCCTTCCTTTTTAGGCTCCATCTGATGGATCCAGAGATGTCATGGTTTATGTTTATGGTTACAAAATCACAGCAATTCCCTATGTTGAAGAGTTCTCACATAAAGACTTAGAATATTATCATTGGCTTTGACTGTGTCACATGATCATTCATGAATCAATAACTTTGATAGGGCTGGATGTCTCAAATAGTCCTGAGCAAATCAGGTGCATACCCAGAAGCTAGAGGTATGTATGTAGCCAGAAGAAATTGTGTGCTCTTTTCCAGAAGAAGCGAAGTATGCATGCTGGGTGGTGAAAATCCCCATGTTACCTACACAACACTTTTTGAAAATCTTTCATCTCTAGATTCCTAATGAAATACCACTTTATCTTGGTTTTCTTCCACCTTTGGTGGTTCTCACTTTACCATAGATCTTAATTCCTTTGTCTTAACTTTAAACACTGGTCTTTTTCAAGGCTTTATTTTAGTCACCTTTCTTACCACACTCTTTATAATTCATTTGCATTTAAGTTACCAATTCTATGTTGATGATCTTCAATTCTGTAAAATCATTCTTATATATTTGTCTCACAAGCTCCAGAACTGTGAGAACCCACTGCATGCATATATATATATATATATATATATATGCATATATATATATATATTTTTTTTTTTTTAGAAAAAGCACGCATGCCAGAGTGGGTAGGGGAAGGAGGAGAGAGAGAAAGAATCTTAAGCAGGCTCAACACCCACCGTGAAGCCCAACGTGGGGCTCAATCTCAAAACTGTGAGATCATGACCTGAGCTGAAACCAAGAGTTGGACTCTTAACCAACTGAGCCACCTTGGTGCCCCTCCCACTGAATATTTCTAATTTCATGATCTCCTACATCAAAACCTCTACACTTTATACATAGTACTTACCTACTCAGCCTCTTGTAGAAACATGCCTTCATGTTTTCTATAGTTTGCAAAAACAGTAATGTTATTTGCATTAGATTTCTGTTCAAGACACCAAGGAATCCTGTCTTGTACTGTTGGAATTCTGAGGAACTTATTAAAGACTTTTAGCTTATTTTTTTCCTGGTATTTCTTGGATGTCTTCCCCTCCCCTCCTTTTAAAAAAAAATCCACCGTATTTAAAGTCTTCATTGAATGCTCTTTTTCTGTTCTTGCACTCTTCATTCATACTTCCACTAAGTTTTTCTTTTAAAACACACAAATGGCTGTGTCACTTCTGTTTTAAAAAATTTTAATTCCAGGATAGTTAACATAAAGTGTTAAATTAGTTTCAGGTGTAGAATACAGTGACTCATCCATTCTGTACATTACTCAGAGTTCATCATAAGTGTACTCTTGATTCCCTTCACATATTTCACTTAATCCTCACCCACCTCCTCTCTGGTAATCACTTGTCTATACTTAAGAGTTTGTTCTTGTCTCTTTGTTCGTTTGTTTCTTAAATTCTATACATGAATGAAATCATGATACTTGTCTTTCTTTGACTTATTTGACTTACAAATACACTCCTTAGATCATCTAGGCTACTGCAGATAATGCTGCAATAAACAGGGGTGCATGTATCTTGTTGAATTAGTGTTTTGGTATTTGGGTAAAGAGGTAGTACTGAAATCGGAGGATCATATGATAGTTCTATTTGTGATTTTTAGAGGATCATCTATACTGTCTTCCACAGTGGCTGCTCCCATTTGCATTCCCCCCAATAGTGCACAAATGTTCCTTTTTCTCTGCATCATTGCCAACACTAGTTACTGTAGCCATTCTGACAGGTGTGGTTTTGATTTTCTATTTCCTTGATGGTGAGTGATATTGGGCATCTTTTCATGTCTGTTAGTCATCTCTATGTCTGCTTTGGAGAAATGTCTGTCTTCTGTTCATTTATTTTTAATGTTTTATTTATTTTTGACAGAGCATGAGCAGGGGAGGGGCAGAGAGAGAGGGAGTCACAAAATCCGAAGCAGGCTCCAGGCTCTGAGCTGTCAGCACAGAGCCTGACGTGGGGCTCGAACTCCCCGCGAGATAGTGATGTGAGCCGAAGTCAGACACTCAACCGACTGAGCCACCCAGGTGCCCCTTCTGTTCATTTTTAACAGGATCGTTATTTTTTTTTTAGGGTTACATTACAGAAATCCTTCCTATATTTTGGATAATAGACCTTCATCAGGTATGTCGTTTGAAAATAGCTTTTCCCATTCTGAAGGGTGTCTTTCAGTTGTGTTGATTGCTTCACTGTGCAGAAGGTTTTTATTTTGAGGTAGTCTCAATAGTTTATTGTTGCTTTTGTTACCTTTGCCTCAGCAGACATAGTTAGAAAAAATGTTGCTACGGCTGATGTCAGAGCCCTTACTGCCTGTGCTCTGATGCAGGGTTTTTATGGTTTCAGGTCTCACATTTAGGTCTTTCATCCCATTTGAATTTATTTTTGTGTCTGGTGTGACAAAAGTGGTCTACTTTCATTCTTTGGTTTATTGCTGTCCAGTTTTCCTAGCACCATTTGTTGAAGAGACCATGTTTTTCCCATTGCATATTCTTTGCTACATTGTGAAAGATTAATGGAGCTTATAATTGTGCGTTTATATCTGGGTCTTGTATTCTGCTTTCTTGGTATGTCTTTTTTGATACTATTTTGATGATTAGAGTTTTGTAGTATAACTTGAAATCTGGGATTGTGATACCTGCCGTTTTGTTCTGTTAAGGATTGCTTTGGTAATTTGGGGTCTTCAGTGTTTCCATATAAATTTTAGGAATATTGGTTCTGTTACAGATCTGTTACAAATACTGTTGGTATTTTGATAAGGATTGCCTCAAATCTGTAGATTGCTTTGGGTAGTACAGGCATCATAACAGTGTTTGTTGTGCCAATGCTTGAGAATGGAATATATTTCCCTTTGTGCCATCTTATATTTCTTTCATCAGCGTTTCATAGTTTTCCAGAGTACAGGTCTTTCCCCTCTTTGGTTAAGTTTATTCCTAGGTACTTTATTCTTTTTGGTTCAATTGTAAATGGGAATGTTTCCTTAATTTCTCTTTCTACTACTTTATTATTAGTGAAGAGAAATGTAACAGATTTATGTACATTGATTTTGTATCCTGTAACCTTATTGATTTGTCATTTGTAGTAGTTTTAGTGTTTTTTTTTGGTAGAGTCTTTAGGGTTTGCTATGTATAAAATGTCATATTATATATATACATACATATATATTATATATATACATATTATATATACATATATATATATATAATATAAAAATATGCAAAAGTTTGAGTTCTTATCTGTTTGGATGCTTTTTACTTCATTTTGTTTCCTGATTGCTGTGGCTAGGACTTGGCGTATTATGTTAAATTAGTGAACGTGGACATTTTTATGTTGCTGATACTATGGGAAATGGGTTCGGTGTTGCACCATTCAGTATGATGTTAGCTGCGGATTTTTCAGAGGTGGACTTTATTATGTTTAAGTATCTTCACCTTAAGCCTACTTTGTTGAGGACTTTTTATCACGAATGAATGTTGTACTTTGTCAAACGCTTTTTCTGAATCTGTTGAAATGATCATAAGGTTTTTATCCTTTATTGTATTGATGGGATACATCACTTTGATTTGCAAATAGTGAAACAGCCTTGTATCCCAGAAATAAATCCCACTTGATCATGGTGAATGATTTTTTTAAATATATTGTTGGATTTGGTTTGCTAATATTTTGTTGAGAACTTCTATGTTGATCAGAGATAATGGCCTATAGTGTGTTCTCTCCCTCCCTCTCTCTACCTCTCTAGTGTCTTCATCTTGTTTTGATACTAGGGTAATGGTGTGTGTATAGAATGAATTTGGAAGCTTTCCTTCCTCTTCAGTATTTTGGAATAGTTTGAGAACAATACATATTAATTCCTCTTTAAATGTTTGGTAGAATTCTCCTATGAAGCCTCTGCTTTTTGGGAGTTTAATTAGTGATTCAATTTTATTGCTGGTAATTCGTCTGTTTGAATTTCTATTTCTTCCTGTTTCGGTTTTGGGATGTTATATGTTTCCAGGAATGTATCCATTTTTTTCTAGGTTTTCTTAATTGTTGCCATACAATTTTTTCAAAATGTTTTTTTATTATCCTTTATATTTCTGTGCTGTTGGTTATTTCTCTTCTTTTATCTCTGATTCTCTAATATCTCTGATTCAACAATATTCTTAATGAATATGTTGAGACTTGTTTTGTGGCCTAATACGTGACTTAATCTGGAGAATATTCCATGTGCTCTTGAGAAGAGTGTATATTCTGTTTGAGGATGAAAGATTCTGATTGTATGTTGTATCCACGTGGTCCAGTGTGTCATTAAAAGCCACAATTTCCTTCTTGATTTTCTGTTTGGATGATCTTTCGGGGTGTTAATGTCACCTACAATTATAGTATTACTGTTGCTGAGTTCCTTTGTGTCTGTTTTTGGCTGTTTTATGTATTTGGGTGCTTCTATGTTGGGTGCATAAAATAGTGGCAATTGTTCTTGTTGTGTGATTGTTCCCTTTATGTTTAAATGGTGTCCTTCTTTGTCTCTTGGTGCTCTCTTTGAAGTTCATTTTGTCTGATAGGAGTATTGCTACCTCGGCTTCCCATTTGCAGGATGAGTGCTTCTCCATCGCTTCACTTTAAATCTGCATGTGTCTTTAGGTCTGAAATGAGTCTCTTGTAGGCAGCCTATAGAGGAGTCTTTTTTATCCATTTCATCACCCTATGTTTTTTGATTGGAGCATTTAGTCTTTTTACTTTCAAAGTAAATACTGAGAGGTATGCACTTACCACCATTGTACTACTTATGGTTGTTCTCCATTACTTACTTTTTCTCTTACCATTGGTTTGCAATCTTTAGTGATAGACTTGTATTCCTTTCTCTTTATTTTTTGTGTATTTTACTGGTTTTTGATTTCTGGTAACTATTTGGTTTGTATAGAACATCTTCTGCACAAAGCAGTCTACATTAAGTTGATAGTTGCTTAAATTAGAACTTACTCTTTACCCCCCTGCAAACACACGATTGAGGCATATGTTTTCATAATTATATCCTTCAATTTTGTGAGTCCCTCGATCGATTTTTATAGACAGACTTAATTTTACTGCTTTCGTGTTTCCTAGTTTTTTTCTACTTACAGTCTTTGCATTCCGACTCCCCTTTAACATTTCTTGTAGGGCTGATTTAGTGGTCTCACATTCCTTTAACGTTTGGTAGGTCTTTATTTCTCCCTTTTTTTGGAAAAAAAAAAAACTTTAATGCTTCTTTTTGAGAGAGAGAGAGACAGACATTGTGAGTGGGGAAAGAGCAGAGAGAGAGGGAGACACAGAATCTAAAGCAGGATCCAGGCTCTGAGCTGTCAGGACAGAGCCTGACTTGGGCCTTGAACTCAGAAATTCTGAGATCATGACCTGAGCCGAAGTCAGCCGCTTAAACAACTGAGTCACCCAGGCACCCCTCTCCTTTCTTTTAAGCTTACTTATTTGAGACAGAGGTAGAAACAAAGAGGGAAAGAGAACCCGAATCGTGCTTCATGCTGTTAGTGCAAAGCCCCATGCCGTGCTCAATCCCATGACCTAACCTGAAACCCAGAGTCAGACATTCACCAACTGAGATATCCAGGTGCCCCTCTCTTTTTATCCTTAATGATAGCCTTGCTGGATAGAGTTTTTGGCTGCATGGGTTTTTTGTTTGTTTGTTTGTTTGTTTTGTTTTTTTGCCCCCAGCACTTAGAATATATGGTGCCACTACCTTCTGGACTGCAGTGTCTGCCAAAAAATTGAGTTGATAGATTTATGGGTTTTCCCTTGTATGCAACTGTTTGCTTTTTCTCTTCCTGCTTTTAAAGTTCTCTCTTAATCACTACTTTTTGCTATTTTAATTACTGTGTGCATTGGTATGGACCTACTTGGATTTTTTGTGGGGTTCTCTGTGCCTCCTAGATCTGGATTTCTGTTTTCTTTTACATATTTGGGAAAATTTCAGCAATGGGTACTTTAAATAAAGTTTCTGACCCCTTTTTTCTCTCTTCTGTTTCTAGGATGCTTATAATGTGAACGTTTTTAAGCTTGATAGTCTTGCTGAGTTCCCTATGTCTATTTTCATTTATTACTTTTTTTTTTTTTTTCTATCTCCTGTTAAGCGTGATTGCTTGCCATTAGTCCTCCAGGTCACTGATCCTGTTCTGCATCCTTTGCTATTTCTTCCATCTACTGTCTTTTTGAGTTTTTGAGTTCTACATCTCTGGTTGTTTGTTTTCTGTCTCTTTAATGGTCTCATTTAAGCGTTCCACCTTTCTCTCTAGTCCCGTGAGTATCTTTACAGCCATTATTTTTAAATTCTCTATCACACATATGACTCCTCTCTGTTTCATTTAGCTCTCTTGCTATGATTTTATCCTGTTCTTTGATTTGGGACATGTTCCTCTGTATCCTTATTTTGACTGTGTGGGATGCGGTGAGCTTAGGGTCTGTCCTTCCTACTCTGTTATCTTTTCTGGAAGTTGACTTAAAGCTGTTTGTTGATGTTGTTTTTTATAGCTTCCCATTGTTGGGTAGGTAATGTCCACACTTGTTAGCATACCTTATGATCTGGGCTGACTCCAGCATCCTGCTTCAGTCTCAGGTTTCAGCATTATCCAACTCAAATCACATGTTCTTCCTACCATGCTGTTTGAAGTCTCCTAAATATAACCATCTTCTTTCATGTCCACATCAGTATCCATGAACACCTATTCTCTCTAACTTTTTCAGTTGCCCTTCACATTTTTTACTCTCAGAGAATGATTCCTTACACTTTCAGGCTCCATTCAGCTTTTGTACCCTTGAAGAAAACTTGGCTAATACCCATTACTCCATGTCGGGGTTAGAGGCCCCTTCCGCTTTTCATATACCACTCTGGAAATAGCTCTGACCTCATCAGTCTTGTCTCTAGTCATCCATTTATTCTTTCATTTTTACAAGATTATATTGCTTAGAATAAGGAGGGCTAGCACCTAGCTCATTTCCTCAGTAAACTTTAATGAAGAAAGTAATTCAGTAATTTTTCCAAGTTGTTAGAACATAGAAAAATATTTTTCTTTTTTTAGTGGTATTTTCATAGTTCTCTGCCTTAAAATTCCCTATTAGTAGCTATTCATAATGTTGCTGATTATTTATCCTGTGTTGATACAGGATACTTAACATTTCTAAAGCTTTTTTGTTAAACTTGCACATTTGTATGTTACTTTGACTGTTGACATTATCCAAATGTAGCACTTTATCAGGTTATAAATTTCCACTGAAATTGTACTTCAAGTTAAAAACTTTATGGCATCGCATGTATCTGAAGTATTTACCTTGCTTACTCGATTCAAAACCATTGCTATTGTGTTATACTCACCATTATGAAAATTATTTTTGTTTGTGTGGC